CCATATCCTGGTATGGTTCCTGGACCTGCTTCGCCCAGTCAAGACAAGAAGATGGCGTACTTCCTTCATTTCCTTACCAAAATAGAGAAGCAGGCCGTCTGGCAGACGCTCCAACACTGCTGCTGAACTGGATGACGTCTCTTGCTGACATAATGCTTCTATATTGCAATGTATGTGAAGGTCATTATTTTATGCAGAAGTTGCTTTCCTGACCTCAGCTGACACAGTTTTATGTGCAGTGATTCATGAGGTGTTTATTGCAGTAAAGTCACCTCGATTCTTCCTGTGTCTTTAACTGCAAATCTCTATTCACACTGTGGCACAAATAAAGACAAATAAGCCATGAATGCAGAAACAGAGGTGTTAAAGTAAAACTTTAAAGCCAGTGAGTGCTGACCCTGAGGATTCCCATATATCAGTGCATTAGTTTCAGTACAGATAAAAAATAACTCATTAAAATGCTCTTTGGCTGCTTTTTGACCTCTTTATTCACTCGCCTGCCACAAGCTTATCTAAGTCAGTTATATAATCCTCACCAGCAGCCAGGCTTGATTGACATCTAATGTGAGAGTGTGGTGGGTGGCAGTGATTGAAGTCGTGTGGAGTTAACACACTTATCCAATTCACTGAAGATATCATTGCACAGGGATCCATTCCATTCCTAACCTAATTATATGATTTATCCAACTTCTAAAAGAGACCCAACATTAATTGAATGTATGCGTTTGCTCACGCGTAAGTGATTGAATCTGATGATGTGTTTAAGGAAACCAGAGAAGTGACTGAAATTGCACAGTAAGTGGGTCCTTATTAAAAGTCTTTAAACACTAATTACTTTTACTCGATAACAGCAAAAGAAAATAATGTGCATAAACGAATTATTCTTGTTTACCTGTGATTATCCTGAAACCAGTTTTTTTCTCTATGCTGAAGACCACACTGACTCTCAAATATGCCCAGTTTGCATATTAAGAATCAGGTTATTAATTCGGACATACTTTGAGAACTTGTGGTATGAAGGATCCACCTTAATTTGAAAATAACTTTAATTATAGAGTATCCTAGTAATGTATTAGTGAGGGATAGTGGAGGTTATTCACTTTACACATAGTTTTTTAATGTTTATTAATATTAAATTGCTATTATAATCATACTAATGACTATAAACTAGTAATTTAAAAAGTATATTAACTCGTACATTTACCCTTTTAGATAAGTGTTGCCTCATGTAATAACAATACTGTTAATGCCGAATTTAAAAGTGGTCTTTGGTCAATAAAAAGTCTTTGAAACAGAAGCATTCCTGGAGTGTCGTCTTACAGAAAACAAATAATAAATCACAAGTCATAACATTTTGAATAGAGTTTGGTGTTGAATTTTCCTGACATGATCAAGAAAACGGCAGCTCACTTCCGTAACGTCATGATCAGAAGGCGCACAGTGTGGTGTTGGAGCCGCGGTGAGATGCATGTGATGGGGTGGTCATACCTCGAACCTCCAGGAGGGAAACGCTGTGGTTTGTTGCATCCCTGCGGACAGAAGAGTGAGCAGCGCCGCGGCCAGCAGAGGAGCGAAGCCCCGGCCGCCTCTCCGTAAACTTCTGGGAGTCTGACAGCTCACCATGGCTGCGGTATCACACCTCCAGGAAAAGTAATACCAATAATAAATGATCTCCTCAGCGAAGACTGCACAGGTTCACCATGTATGAACGCTACTTCTCTGCCATCGCACGTCTCGGCAGTGTGTCACTGCGCGGGTCGATGTGCGGGGCTCTGCGGCAGCGGCGCAGCCTGCGGACCGGGTGGTGGAGGCAGCGCAGACTGCAGCAGCTCCGCTCGGCTCCTTTCCGGCCGCACAGCGCGTCTGCCAGAGGGCTGGTTTCACATTACTCCAGAGGGGGCAGGGGGTCAGCGTCGAGACGATCTAATGAAAACCAAACGCGCTCTGTCGATCAAAACCATTTGCTGCAACCGCTGGAGAAGAGCTAAAGCAGAATCAGATGGTTCATTTTGAACATGGCTTTCAAAGGTTTATGTAATAGCGCTGCTGTGGGAAGAGAGAAGGTACTTCAGTGTATGGCCTGCACACACATTTTCTGCAAGAGGGAAGAACACAAACAAAGAGGCCTTTGGATGGAGGGAGAATGGTCAATGTGTGAACCATCTCCCCAAACCCCAAACAACCCAGGACTCTAAACAAAATCCAGTTTTTACATTCCAGGTTTTCAACTAAATGGAAATACAGCTTCAGAGTTTTTCCAAACAATTTATTGTTTAGAGTTTTGTAAAATGTCAAAGCACTGGAGTTGCATGGCCTCCCACTGTGATTTGTTAGTATTTATTTTGTTCAGTGAGGACAGGGTGACAGGAAGATTGCAGGTGAGTATACAGATGACTCGGCCTGGGATGGAAAAGCTGAATAAGTCTGAGGTTATGCCATAGCAGAAGTGACTCTGGGGCTTATGGGTGGGTGATGAGTTGTACAAAGTACAAACAGCAGACATTCATCACCGAAAGCAGCTTGTCCTTTTCACTTATTTTTTTTAAATGCAGTCTTTGTTTTTTAATGGATGCATGCAAAGACGCATCAAGAAGTACCTTTATTTATGTGGGACTTTTCCTAACATTGTTATTGATTGCTTTACAAGGACGAAACAATGAATCCATCCGTGGAACTAAGTGGTAAGAAGGTCAATAGGTCTGAAAGGCATCGTGGTGCAAAGACATTGAAGGGAGAAGTTGTATTTTAAAATCCTTATTGAATTTAACAGGGAGCAAGTTTGGAGAAGAAAGCACAGATGTAATGTGGTCATGTCTTTTGTCTCAGTGAAAAGCTGGGCAGCAGTGGTGGAGGGAGCTCTGGCTGATACTGGAGTAAAGTGCATTACAGTAATTAAGGTGAGGTGATACAAAACATGTATACATCTTGGAAAATCAGCAATTGATAAAAACAACTTGAATTTGGAGAAAGAACAACATTCTTCACTAGTGCATCAAAACCTAATTTGAAGTGAAAATGATCCCAGCAGTCTGCTTGATATTATTCAAGGTTCAGGTGGAATTAAAGGTTCAGCGTGTTGAATTTAGTGACATCTAGTGGTGAAGTTGCATGTTGCAGCTGAATACCACTCAGCTCCCCTTCCAAACATGAATGAGAACCTTTGGCAGCCTTCAGTTTTCATAAAAACTTAATAGATGTTTAGTTTGGCCAGTTTGTATTTATGTAAAATAAATATGGCAGCCTCCGTAGAGAGGACCCACTCCTGATGTAAATATAAAGTATTTAAATATGAAGGGCTCATTCTAGGGTACAGAAAACAACAATTCCTTTCTGCCAATATATCCCTTTCACGTAAATCTTACACACTGGACCTTTAAAGGGAGACCAAACAGGATGACTTCAGAATTGTCATCACTGCACTTTTGCACCACTGTCCCAAAGAGACAGAGTCTTCACACTTCCCACATCACCATAACAAAGCCAAAAAATGGAATGGTTCTGTAAAATCATGTCCCATAGTCAGGTCCCAACAGCAGTCTGTTTGCTACTGTGACCCTCACATGAACTTTATGATGTATTAAAATATTACCTGCACAGAGGAACTGATGTCTGTGACAATGTGTGATCTTGTGATCTCCATAGCATGACTGCAAATTCATAAAGAAACATCAGGCCTGCCAGTATTAATTGTTTCCTTGGTGATAATGGGATGTGTAGCACTGCTGGGGTCCAAAATACCAAATAGCATGTTGTCAACTTTCATCCATCTCATCTGTGAGCAAGCAACTCTTTCATAGAATTTCTGTACGTAGCTCCACCTTTTTACTCATCATAAAAACTAAACTATGGGTTGTTCTTCCTCAGAGAGTCTGAACAGATTCACTTTTGGTAGCCACGTGGTTGTGTTATGGTTCAGCTTTAGCCAAATACATTTATCCTCAAATCTGGTCAATAGCTGGGTTAATTACTGGCAAAGGAAATTAGGTTGTATCCAGAACTGTGTCCTAATCCAAACCAGGCCTCTCTGTTCCCATGATGCTATGCAGCTCTTCTCCTCTGGAATTTCTTTTTGTAAAGCAAGAGGAGGCAAGGTAGTTTATTTGCACAGCAAATTTCAATAATTAGGCAATTGAAAGTACTTTACATAAAATATAAAAGGCATAATAACAAATTGTAAAAGTAACATAAGATAATAGATAAATGCATTTGAATATAAATAAAAAAGAGCTGTGTGTAGAATAAAAATGAATAACTAAAATAAGAAAATAAAGACTGTAAGTATTTGTGGAGTGTAAGTAATGAGTAAATATTTGATTCAATTAAAAAAAAAAGAGGTTCCATGTGTGGAGTCTTGAGGAACCCCATGTGTTTTTTTTGGTCTACTCCACTTACAAAATAATAGTAAGAAAAATTATACTCGGTCTGTAAAACATCAACTCCACCCTACTTTACTAACTGGCTGCATGAACGTGTCTCAGTCATACACATTGAGAAACTGCAACCAAATAACATCAAATGTGGGGAATCTTAAGGTACTAATTTACCAAATTTGTGTTTATATAATGTTATTTATTTATTTTTCCCTCTCTGTTTGTTTTGTTGCTTTGTGTACCTGTACCTGACTGGCTGGATTTAACAATTGCTGGTTGATGATGTGCATTGCTGTTTACATAATTTGTATCTCTACCCAGTGTGTGTGTGTGTGTGTGTGTGGGTATTAGACCAAGTTGGGCTCTGGGATTTGACTTGTGCCTGCTCTTGTATTATTGTATGAAAGAAAATATGTGTGTTTATTTGTGTATTTAAGTTTTCCTTCATTTAATGGTTCTGTGGTCTATAAAGTCCAATGTGGGATGTGCCATGATTCTACAATACAAACGGACATGTTCATGGAGATGTTGGTGTAGAATTACTCTTCTATTTTCCATCGTTTCGTGTCAAGTTTTCTTCTTTAGCTCTTCTTTTTATTTGCCGGAATGAAACACATGCCGGAACCTTGTGCGAGCGATGATGCGTTTCCTTCGACCCGTGTACGGCGTTGCACTTGAGGTGGAGGAAATGGCACCCGTCAGGCACAGCAGTGGCCAGACAGTCAAGTATCCTCCAAGTTGACACGTAAGCTGACACACGGAGCGGACTCTGCGGGCCACAGGAACATGTTTGTTAGCGGAGAGGAGCCCGGGTGGTGTCGGACACGGAGGACATAGCTGGTAAGTAGCCGCTGTCCCCGCACACAGAACGTTAGCTCTGCGGATAGCGGAGTTAGCTCTAATCCCATAATCTCAGCAGCTAGCCAGGGATCGTTTGCACCTCACGGGGATCGGTGTCCTTACCTGCTGCCTCCACCGAGTATTTTCTCAGAGTGAGAGTGGCTGATGTATAATAGTTTAATCTCACGTGTGTAATAATAAGATCAACAACGAGCCAATGTGAGTTGAGCTCAGAAACCACTTGGAGTTAAAGTGTTGGTGACATTTACTGTCAGAACGTGCCTGCTCTCTGTGACCGCTGGATCTGCTGTGGACCACCTGATTACTACTACTACTAATACTACTACTACTACTACTGCTGCTGCTGCAGCGACAACATTTCACATGTAAATATTATACTGTGTAGGAAAGTGGTGGCTATGAAAGTCCTCTGTTAAATGGCCAGACGACGTGCAGTAAGAGTTTGTTTCTTCTGATTTAATAATGTGCTGCACCACAAGAAAACAAATGGTCAATATATTAAGAAGGAATAATAATGGTTATAATAAAAGTAAGAAGAGACCAATAATAGCCTGGCATCCCAAGTAAATTCAGGAACATGTCGTCTGAAAAGATTGTGTTTTTAGCAAGTACTTAAAAGAAGGTGCCCTCTCGGACGGTCTTATTTCCTTATGTCCCACTAGTTTATAGTCTAGATTCAGGAAGAGACAGCGGACTCTTGCCCGTAAAGATTAGAGATACACCCTGCAGCCAGCCTCAAAAGTAAAAAATAAAATCTTAAACTCAATCCCAAAAAATAAACTGGGAGTGATGTGATCATATGTCATAGTTGTAGTTCCTAAGCTAGCTGCTGTAAAATGTTTTTCTTCCTGCAGGAACATCAAACTCTGGCATCTGGGAACGTCACTGCTACTGTAGACACCTTGCACAGAAATGACCAAAGAGCAGAAACAAAGCAGGGCGGAGACTTTCTCTCTGACTGGATCTAATGGTCACAGCGGCCAACAATGGCAGACTGGCATGAATAACACGACCGATCACCCTCCAGGGGCCAACCACATGTCGAGGATGGCCCGCGTCGCCTCACATGTCAGGCTTAAGTGTGCGGCATACGTGCTGGCGCTGAGACCATGGAGTTTCAGTGCCTCGCTCACGCCGGTGGCCCTCGGCAGCGCCCTGGCGTACAAACTTGATGGCTCTGTGGACTTGGTCATCCTGATGGTGTGTGCGGTGACCGTCCTTGTAGTCCACGGGGCAGGCAACCTTGTGAACACCTACTATGACTTCTCCAAAGGGATTGACCACAAGAAGAGTGACGATAGGACTCTTGTGGATGAAATTCTCGCACCGCAGGATGTTGTCATGTTTGGAGCGTTGTTATATTCTTTGGGGTGTCTGTGTGCCACCCTGCTCTACTTCCTGTCTACACTCAGACTGGAGCATCTAGCCCTTATTTACTTTGGGGGACTATCCAGCTCTTTTTTATACACCGGAGGTGAGTAAATCATTAACTTACATCTCTTGGATTGCTTCCTCATTTGATAAGCCACCTCAGTCACAAAAAGCACACACACATTCACTCACACATGGAGGGGCATACATCTTTCATTTAAAATACACACTCTGCAATATTTTATGTTAATGGCTCCTTGTGCCAGAAATATGTTGCTGTTTGAAAAACACAAACTTGTGTGTGAGGCTCAAAAAGTGAACATATCTCTTGCATGTGCGACGTACACAAAATGTGGGGGTAGAAAAATGCAATGTATAAAAAAAAAAGTTTTGTTTTTTACCCTTTGATTTGAAATGTCAATACATCAGCATCAACATTTCATTTAACAAAATACAGAACTGTACAGACTTGTTTGAATGATCACTTTGTGATTCACGCTACAGTTTTCTAGATTTCATTAAAGAAGGAAAACAAAGTTGGTTTCGTTGTCATGGGTAGTGCTACTCACCCTATAAGAAAACACTTGTCTAGATGTCTAATGTAGCCCTGGAAGAGCTATTGCGAGTCTGAGTAAATAACCCTGATGACATTAGATGCTAATGAGAGATTTGAAGAAAACAGATGCTACCCTTCAACCGCTCTTGGGTATTTGATGATAAGGTGTGGACATCCATTAATCAAAAAGTCAAATATCGCCTCTGTTTGCTCTTTTCCCCTTTTCCCCAGGCATCGGCCTCAAGTATGTGGCACTAGGGGACGTGGTGATCCTGATTACCTTCGGCCCTCTGGCAGTCATGTTTTCCCACGCAGTACAGGTTGGATACCTATCAGTGCTGCCTCTAGTGTACGCTGTCCCGCTGGCGCTCAACACAGAAGCCATCCTCCATAGCAACAACACCAGAGACATGGACTCTGACAAGCAAGCAGGCATCGTCACCCTGGCCATCCTCATAGGTCCTACGCTCTCCTATGTCCTCTACAACCTCCTGCTCTTCGTCCCCTATGTGCTTTTCTGCATCCTCGCCACCCGTTACACCATCAGCATGGCGCTGCCTCTGCTCACGCTGCCAATGGCCTTCCCCTTGGAGAGGCAGTTCCGCGGCCGATGTTACGCCAAGATCCCCCAGAAGACGGCCAAGCTCAACCTCCTCATGGGACTTTTCTACGTGTTTGGAATCATTCTGGCACCTCCTGGTAGCTTGCCATTACTGTGATTCTCTAGGTTTGATATTTCAAATTTCTTGTTTTAACACAGACTAGTTAAGTATCTCCTTGTATTTGTACAAAGCTATCTGAAGACTTTCACTGGCTTTAATTTATTGTTTAATTTATATGTCGAGCAGAGATTTAAATTAGGTCCTCCTCTGTGACACTGAAAACCTAAGCTTTTTTTTCCAGTATTAAGCCTGCTGTAACATGTCTAAAATTAAAAAATGTTTGTTATTTGTAGAGGTGGGCAATATTTTCATGTAAGGATAGACAGTAAACCAACAGTTGCCATAATTTTAAAGACACAACCTGTAACATTGATTGTTAAAACCTCAATAAAACTATTTTCAACATTGTACTCTCTGCACGGTACATACTGTTCATTGGGATTTTCAATAGTCCTTTCTGAGATTGTAATAAAACTCACTGCTGCTGATGTTTCTTGTCATCATTCTGGATCAGTTAAGTTCATGTTTCTTTAACACAAAACACATGACAGTTTCTTTTGAATATTCACAAGTTCCATT